TGAGGTTTGAGGTCTTGAAGCCCAAAGATGTTTCAGGGGGAGAGGAACCGATCCAAGAGCCAGAAAGACAATATTGGTGAAGCAGACCATGACGACGAGCCTTCAATTTTGAGGTTTTGGAGAATTTGAGTCTGGCGAAAGTAAAGAAAGACCATCAACTGCGTCGGATGTGGGGGAAAAGAAAGGGGAAGGATCAAATGCCAGACTGCGAGAGGTCCTTCGGAGAGAGGATGGTGGGAGGAAGAGAGATGTGCCCCATCAAAATCAACCATCGGGCCGAAACACGTGATGCGCACGGACCCTTTGCGCAGTTGATGCGTTGATCTGAGTTGATGCGGACCTCGATGGACCGCGACTTCAGCTTTTTAACTGGCTCGATGGTTGGATTCCATTGCAACACCGCCACACTTTCCAGGCATTCGGGACTCGGACAGCCTTGAGTTAATTTGCCCGTAATATGATGCCGGCTCGATGCCAACTGGAATCCTGGATGCCGGACCCGGTCCTCTCGTGACTTTGGGCATCTTCGTCAATTCTTAAGCAAGTCTTTGGTAACATTGTGATTGTAGGGAACTCGAAAATACCACGAACTCCCATTTGGTTGAGAAAATGGTAGCGTAAAAAATCTGGCGGGTCATGGGCCGTCTGGCTGGTATGGCTGCCACGCCAACCATACCGGTCAGATACAGCCATATGGTGCCATGCGTGCCAGAGAATTTTGGTTGTTTTGCTGATGAGCGCACTCCTTGTGCAACCGGACGGTCCTTAGGCCTTACCTTAGCGTGTATCCTGGTTGAAATACAAGAGTAGTCATAGCGGCACACGATACCATGGGATTGATCCGACGGCATCAGCCGAGACAAGGCCAAACACGCTCCTCTGCTCTCCTCCTCCCTCCGCCCATGCCCGCCTCCATCTCCAGCCAGTCCCCCCCAGCCGCTCCCGTGCCCCGCCGCCGCGCATCGGCGAGCCCCGCGCGTGACGTCGGCGTCAAGGGCATCACGCGCAAGGTCATCCGCACGCTCGAGGGCCTCGGGCACCTCGACCCCGCGCTGGAAGCTGAAGCAGACGCCGAGGAAGACGACGACGAGCACGAGGTCGCGCGCGCGCTCGCTGCCGATGCGGAGGCTCGTCGGGTGGGCGCGGGGAAGCAGCGCGCATCGGTGGGGGGGGAGACGAAGAAGATCGACTGGGAGATCCCGAGGAAGGTGTTTCATTCGTCTATCGGTGGGTCTCTCATGCCACTGCGACGACTAGCACTCAATTCACGCGGGGGTAGGCTTCATCACGCTGGGACTGTACCTGACGCCGAGCATGTCGCCGCGGACGGTGGTGTTGGCGCTGTGGAGCGCGCTCGCGGTGATCGCGCCGACGGACTTTGTGCGCCTGCGCAACCCTGCTGTCGAGCGTGTCTATGAGCGTGCGCTGGGTTTCCTCATGCGCGAGAGCGAGCGCGTAAGTTCTTTCCTCCTTGCCACCCTCTTTTTTTTCGGTGCTGACTGTATTCACATGCTATTAGCACGGGACGAACGGGACGCTGTGGTACATCCTCGGCGTCAACTTTGCGCTCACGTTCTATCCCATTGACGTTGCTACTGTCGCTATACTCATGTGCGTGCTGCTGCTCTGCTCCTCCATTTCCACATTTTCTGCTACGTCCCCCTCTTCGCTTCGCTTCCGAGACATATCTCCATTCTCTTCCCCCTCCCCCTGCGTCCGTTCCTCCGCTGCTCCGCCTCTTCGCCCCCTTTCCTTTTCCTTACACCCGCGCCCGCCCCTGTCCATGTCTCGCCCTGCTGCGCCGGGTGTGCCTCCCCCTGCCCGACGTAGCGCGCACTTTCTCCGATGTGCCGCCGCATCTCCTCACGATGTCCCCTCGCGCCGTCGTCCGCCCCCGGTGCTCGTTACCGTGCACTTCGGATCGTGTGCCCTTTGACTCTATCTTTGCTTCCGCGATCGGGATCGTGTGCCTTGCTTTGACCTTCGGACGTTCTTTTCTTCTGTGTTTTTATTTCTTTATTTCCTTCTTCCTTTATTTCTTTCTTGCTGCTGGCTATCCACTTCACGTGTCCCGATTCCTCCTTTCATTTCCGATTCCTTTGCTATTTCCTATTTTCGGATGTCCCAATCTCGTTTTTCATTTCCTATGACCCATGCTCGCCGGTTATCGTGATTGCGGGCGGCATGGCAGAAACGTCGCGGTGGAGGTGGACCCGCTGTGCCGGGCGCCAGCTCTGAACCTGGCGGCCTCCGAAGCGTGTGTGCATCGCACGGGAGGGTGTACGACGTGGTGACGGTCGGCAGCGGGGCGCGGATGGGATGCGCGACGCAGGATAGGACCACGGCGCGGCGTCCCTGATGGAGATCGAGGCCAGAGTGCCCTCTGCGCGAGGGTGTGGGGAGGCACTGAGCGTTGCGAGGCGCGTGGTGGGCACGGGGCGTTCGCGTTCGGGCCTCGGCGGTCGAGTCCGAGTCGCGTGTAGGCATGACTTCTGAGCGGAGTCCCAGTCGGCCGTGGACGAAGCGCGAGCTTCGGCCCGCCGCGGTTGAGGATGAGGGTGGAGCATGTAGTCGCGAGGGTGCTTGCGAGGCGCGGGATACTCCGACACACCTTTCGTCCTCGGCCTCGGTGGTACCTTTGTGGGCGTGCCCAGCGAGTTTCTTTCTGCTTCTGCGATCGAGGCCGGCAGGCGCGTGCGTGGGCGCTGCCCTCTCGTGTTCCTAGCCCTTGCATTGCCCTTGCATTGCCCTCGGCCGCGACCTCTACGTCCTTTCTTTTTTTGGACGGCGGCTTTACGTCATCTGTAGACGTGGTCGCTGTCGAGACGGGGGTTGCTCGTTGCGTGATGACGCCGATGGCCGGCACGGCGGTGGACCTACGCCGTGGGGATTGGGTCGGCGCGCCGCGCGCCTCCTCCCCGTCGCACAGGCTGTGTCTTATTTTGCATCCCTACCCGCCGCCTTTCGTTTCGTTTTCGTTTTCTTTCATTCACCCTCGTTCTGTGCCCTTCCTCTTCCTTTTCCTCTTATCTTCTCCCCGCCCTCCCTCCCTCCCCTCCCCTCCCTCTTCCCCTCCCCTCCCCTCCTTTCCCCGCTGACCCCCCTCCTCCCCTAGCCTCTCCTGGGCCGACACCGCCGCCTCCACCCTCGGGCGCATGTACGGCCCGCGCACGCCGCCGCTCCCCGCGAGCCTCAGTCTCGCGTGGCTCCCCGCCTGGGTGTGGGTCCCGCGGGTGCTCCTGATTGCGCCCGCGGCCACCATCAAGGAGAATTCGAAGAGCGGCAACGCACTCAAGGAGAATCCGGGGAAGATCATCAAAGAGAATCCGAAGAGCGTCAAGAACAATACGCGCCGGCTGCGGCTCCCGTTCGCGCCGCGCAAGAGCACGGCGGGGTTCCTCGCGGCGTGTGCCACGGGCGCGCTCGTTGCGCTTGTGTTTTGGGGGGGCATTGCGGGCGTGAAGAGGGTGACGGGGGTGGCGGAGATGAGGGCTGTTGCGGAGGGTGCGTTACTTGCTTTCTTGGTTTCTTCGTTTTGGGGGCGAGAGGCATTGGCGAGCCTGGTGGGCTTGACTCGCGGGAGGCTGGACGAGTGAGGCTGGTGTGCGAGGGCGCGATCAGGCCAGTTTGCGCTATTTGGCTGGGTGGGCGACGGCGGCGCAGTGCGAAGGACGGCGCGCGCTCGGACAGAGGACGATGTGCTTCGCTCGCGATGACGATCCCGATAACCCTACTGACGCGCTTTTCCCGATGATCATACTGACGCGCTTTCCCCCCTTTCCGCAGGCGCGCCCGGGGAGAACACGGGGTACCACTCGCAGTACTCGATCGCGGGGCAGTATGTGAGGACCGAGGGCGGCGCGTGGCTTAGGCGGTGGGTGCCGCAGGGCGTCATTGGGGGCGTCGATGCCAACCCTAACGCGAATCATGCGGGTGCGCAGACGACGCCGGCGCGGTTTGGGGTGCAAGGGTGGGCGGGGCTGGTGGCGCTCGTGGTGTGTGCGGGGGTGGTGAGCGGGGTGGCGGAGGCGCTTGGTGAGTGTTTTGTTCGTCGTTTTCCCTGTGGGGCGGAATGAGGGTGGACGGTGCGGAATGGGGGTAGTGCGGATGGAGGCGGGGAAGTAGGGCGCACGTTCGCCCTGGCGTTCTTCCGCTGAGGATTCGGCCTCCTGCCCTTATCGCGCCCTTCGCCTCCTTCCCTTGTCCTCGCCTCTCCCTCCCCTCCCTTCCCTTCGCCTTTCACCGCCTTCGCGTTCTATCCATCCATCCATCCTTATCCCCGCTCCCAATACACCTCCTCTCGCTCTGCCTTTGCCTCCCCTTCCGCTGCTTCGCCCTCCTTCCCCTCTACGCTCCTCAAACCCGCCGCTAACACCCCCACAGACCTCGGCGGGCTCGACGACAACCTGACGCTGCCTATCATCTCGGGCGGCGCGCTGATGCTGTTCTTCCGCGTGTGGGGATGGGCCGTGGGGGCTGCGTGATTGTTCGCGCGACGCTCTTACTGTTATCCCTCATCTCCGCCCTCCTCGTCATCATCTCCGCCCTCCCCATCGTCCCTTCCGTCCATCTTCATCTTCACCTTCACCTCCCTCCGCCTTCCCTACCTTACCTCCGACTCACACAACACACACACCACCACGCCGACTCACCACTACGCTCACCACCGACTAACCCTACCTACCCCACACCTACGCCCGACGAGGCAATAGACGCTACACCCGACTCCCGATCGAGTTCTGCTACATGCTACATACTTATTTTTGTTACGATTACGGTTACGACTAATACTGCGGCACGTTTACGCACGAGGAGGATTTTGATTATGCTGTGCTGTGTAGGGGAACGGAATGCGGAAGGGGAGGGAAAAGTAGCTCACGGTATACCGCGATGTAATGACTGAATGGATGGATCTGGGATCCGTGCGTATATAACATTCGAGAGGAGGAAGAGGCCTAGGGTGGAAACGCTTGAGCGGTGAAAAAAAGGAGATAGTAAAATGGCCCGGCCTCGAATCGAACGAGGGTTCCCCCCTTGGAAGAGTTGATACAACGCTACAGAAAATGGAGGCATTACCACTATGCTACTAGGCCATTGATAATGATGGGAGGAAAGGAAATAACTCGAAGTCGTGCTTCAATCTTAGACGTCGTTCTGAGTAGAGAAAAAATAGTTTAAATCACGCAGACAGACCCAGATTAGACAGGGATGTTCCAATAAGTACAAGGATACTATGTACACTGCTAAGTATTTAAATTTCTAGAATCAGTACCGCCCTTCAAATTGCTGAAATTTGAATCATGGCTATGGCCTTGATAGCTTTGCTGGCATACAATTCCGGCGATTCGATGGCTGAAGGGTGTTTTTACGTAGGCGCTGCCGCGCCTCGAGCGATCCTCATTACAGTTGCGCTGCCAGAACAAGGAGAAGGATCAGACATCTGCCATCAAAATATCGTCTCACAACTGCCTTACACGCTTTCGTCTACAAGTTCACACCTGTGACCTGTGCATACACGTAACGGGGCGAGACTGCTTTACTCCATTGAGGCTGCCATCTTACTTCTCGACCAATATAGTCAAGATAGCTGTGGACGAGCTGTTCAATGGAATGAAAAGGCAATGCAGAAGACGGCTGTTCGCTCCTTGATCGGATCATCATCGCCTTGAATGCTGCAGTAAATAGAGCGCGCTTTTGCCTTCGTCCATCCCAGCGCTCCTGCATACACCATGTCCGACTCTAAAGACGCGGAAACTCTGCCGAATCCAGTCCAAGTCCGTAGCAACGGTTACTTTCCGGCGACGATGTACTCATGTTCAATCCTTAGATGTTGCGCTCTCGGCTTTCTGTTCCAATCAACCTCCATGCGGAACTGTTCTCGCGTCCACGAAACAACGTCGCCATCTCGCGAATGCTGGGTTCCCTGAACGGCATGCGCGCGGTTGTGGACCCCAACCAGCACATGCCCGAGTCTCTCCGCCCGAAGCCATTCTATGGGCGGCCCCCACCGAACCTCGAGCTCTCGGTCACGTTTGGTGCGGTCGATGCCGACATCGACGTCCTGCCCTTCGCGCCGGATATGGTCCACGTACCGCGTTCAAGATCGTACTTGTCCTCTGACAACTACCGTGAGAGCAAGGGCCCGCAAGTGCACCTCAGATCCGGCACGGGCACAGGAAACATCACGCTTCGCATCGTGCGTCGTCCTTCTGCGGCCCTCCTAGTATTCTTTGGGCTGATTACTTTATTTTATTTCGCAGCGCGCACAGCCCGGCGCACCCGTCTACATCGACACGAACTCGACCTTCGGCCAGACCCGCATCTACCTCCCGCGCACCTTCCAGGGCCCGCTCACGATCGACTCCTGGGCGCGCACTCCGCGCCTCTCGGCCGCCCTCATGCACGCGTCCGAGCCGGTGAGCGCCTCGGGCAGCGTGACGCGCCGCTTCGTCGGCGACGTCGGCGCGTGGACCGCGCGCGGCGAGTGCGGCGACCAGGCCGTGGTGGAGACTCTGTACGGCGCGGTGTGGGTCGGCTATGAGGGGGAGGAGGACGAGGGGAAGCGCGCACTGGGGTCGGTGCTGGTGCACTGGGGCGTGAATGTAACGGCCGTGATCGTGCTGCTGTGGGCGCTGGGCTGGGGCCTAGGGCTGTTCCTCGCGTGGGTCTCAGTTTGGTTTGCGTGATGAATGGCTTCTCGTGTGCATCCCTGCATTTTGTATGTTCTTTAATCCTTTTCTTGATGTGTGGATCCAGCCAGGGGGACTTCGACGATGCAATGGGACGAATTTTAGTGCATATCTATTGAGTCGGAGAATTCAATGTGCGGTGAGACACGCACGCGTATTTGACGAGGTTGCAATTTCCATTGAGAGGAAGAAAAACCTCGTTCTCTCCGATGCCATGGCCTGGCCCCGACTCGAAGGAGAGACTTCCACGGTGAATTTTCCCAACTCATAGCAATAGTACCACTATGCTACCAGGCCGTGATTGCAGACAAGGAGAGCTTATGGTGGTGGAAATTTGAAGAGTAAGGAAAAAAAGTGCTACACTTACTTAAAAGTCAATAATGGCCCAGTCCCGAATGGAACAGGGATCTTCCGCGTGAACACTGAGGAAAAGACATAACTCGCGGAGGGATTACCAAGTATGCAACTGGACCATACTTAAAAGCTCCTACAAATGGCTTTATCGTTAAATTTGAGGTGGAGGTTAAAACCCTGGCAGTCACTAAAAAGGATCACCCCACATATATATGGCCTGGCCCTGAGTCGTTGAACCGCTTGCACAAATTTTGACCTATGAAGGGTAGATTTCGAAGCTCCGCCTACAAAAACTAAGCCGTTATTGAAAAAGAAATTGAACTAAGACCGAGCTTACCAGACAAAGTATAGATGTCCGTCGAGCCAACGTCGTGTCACGCTCCGCACTGGATTGGATTGTCAGGCTCAAGCGCCATGAGATTAGGGAATCGCACCGTACGTATGAGTTACGGTGATACGTACGTACGGTACGTACGGTACCCGTACCGGGAGCCCTCAGCCGTCCCTCGGCTCCGTGCCGTACGTATACGGCACGAACCCGTATCTTTCCGTACGGTATGACCCGTATACGGCCGTATACGGGTTATTATCTTATCTCATCTGGTGCCCGCAACAAAAGACCAGGTGATTCGTGATTATCAGGGAACAAAGCTTCACATGTCCTGTGCTTGGCGAGCCGCAAGAAGCGAACAATGGCATAGATCCATTTCGACCTTCGCTCCTCCCAAAATCCAATTGCATCACCCGTCCAACTGGAAGACGTCGATAGAATACCTCTGCTCTATGTGTCGTCCTCCCAAAATGCCAGCAGGCTTTTCACTGTTTTTTTTCTGTCTGACCAAGGATACCACTCATCATTCCCATCAACCCAGGCAGGGCTATCAACGCCGCCTGACTCCCGCCATCATGGCACCCGCCACAGCGCGCCCTCTTTCATCTCAGTGTTGAGTAGATGAGTAGAACTCCCATCAAATCTTGCTCCTTTTGGAGGACGTCCCGCAATTCGGTTCCCGCCACTTTCGTACGCACCCAGGTCCATGGAGGCCCTCAATACTACTTCCGACTTCAGCTGGTCCCCCGAGAGTACTACCGGTTACGGTTTGTTCTGAATGATGGCCAAAAAAAAAAAATCATATAGAAAGGCTTGTTGTTCTGAGTGATAGACGAAATATATGTTTTGACTCGGCACTTGCCAGTAAGCCGGGCAGCAAGGAAATTGGGCACAGATATAGGCCCTAGTATTCACAGTGGGTTATTTTTCCTTCTTCTTCAAAGCGGCTGACTCGGGCGGAAATAAAATAGAAAATGACAATCTGAAGAAAGAGCGATATCAACACTCAATCAAGTGTCTCGGATATTGAATCTTCGAGGATAGGGTAAAGCATTATCTTGGCCCAGGAATTGCCAATAACACGCAGACCATAGCTGCTGCAACACATGAAGAGGTCCCTCTCCTGGTTCAACTTTGAGGTTCAACTTCAACGCATTGAAGAATATTTCAATGGAATACATCAGAAATATTTCAATCTGTTCCTAGACAAGTGACAACATTTCGTATTCAGGACTATACCTTTCCATGGTCTGCTTTGAGTTGTGCCGATTTTTTCGCCTACTGGTCGTTTGCTTTTTTGGCTCCGAAAATGACTGCGACACCTGTTGATCAAACTTTCCGAAATGATCGCAGCTCTACTCATCTACTACAGACTCTCAATGCTCAGCTCCGACTGATGCACAAGAAGGTCCTCGATGCTTTGAACGAGGTAGATGCTATCCGTCTCAGTACTGCCAGTGAATTGTAGATTTTGATTTGAGTTGAGGTTCTTGACCGTACGTATCACGTATTACGGCCGTATATTACCCGTACCGTACCGTGCCAGCTGTTGTTTCTTCTCGCAATCATCGTACGTATACGGAACGGATTCCGTATTCACGTATTTGGTCACGTACCGTATACGGTACGTACGGTGCGATTCCCTACATGAGATGCCCAGAAATCTTGCACTTTCGTTCAATTGCACATTTTCGAATGAGCTAAAATAGGAACGTCACAAAACTGTTCGTTGCAAGCGTTCAAGTGCGTGGATGTAGAGCTTCTAGAAAGACTACAAGAATGCGGGACTATATCAGTATTGCATGGGAAGATTCCGATAGCAACGTGGGAAGCATATGCCATAACAGCGGCACCAGACGGCACCCTCGTCTCCGTCACAAAATCCATGGAGATCAGACTAACGAAACCCGGGACGTTCTTGTGAAAAAAAACGGCGAATACAAGAAGGGAAAGAGAATCGTATCTTCAATCACCTCGTCCATTATTTCCATAAGTCGGCGGTGCCTCTGAGCGCTCTGCGACGACTTGCAGGCGCTGCACCTCCGCGCGCAGGCTCCGCAGCTCCTGTATGATCACTGGATCCTCCATCGACGGGGTACGCGACGGCGCATTCGGTGCGCGCGCGCCAGGAGGTAGCGACGACCCGTTCTCCATTGGTGTGGACGGAGGAGAGGCCCCGGGACTCGCCACGCGCGAGAGCTGTGCTACCGGTGACGTCGGTGGAGAGGACGAGGGCCAGTACATCGACTCGCGTCCCGCGGTGAGTTGCAGGCCGTCCGCCGTCTGCACCACTGAGTCCGGGACAAAATGCGTATCGCCGTAGTGTGCCACCGCGGCGCTCTGCTCACGCTTCATCGTGCTGAGCGACCGTTCGGGAATGACAGACACTGGCGGCCTTGCGGTCTCGCTTTTCTCTCCGTCACCATCGTCGTTGATGACGAACGACAGCGGTTCCGGGGCGGCGCGCGCAGCAGGCGCTGGATCCTCGGTTTGTGCAGCATTCTGCTGACGGCGGCGGCGGCGGTAGAGGAGGGAAAAACCTGCAAATAGGCCGATGGCCAGGAGGCCCCCTACCACGCCGCCTGCGATGGCGTCAGCGTGAGATTTTGGCTTGATGATACCGCTAGGTGAAGGGGATGGACTGGTGCTTGGCGGTGAAGGGGATGGACTTGTGCTTGACGTTGGAGTTGACGATGGAGTGGAAAGTGATGCAATGGAT